TTTTGTATTGGCACTGCCTTTAATTCTCCCCCAAAGCACCTAACCTGTGGATTATCCCCAGGTTTACACCAGAGGCCAAGGCCAGTCGACACCCATTCGTATACCTACCGTTTGGGGCCGGCCCTCGTAACTGTGTGGGAATGAGGCTCGCCCAGCTTGAAATCAAAATGGCTTTAGTGCGCCTGTTCCAAAGCTTCAGCATTGTGGCCTGCTCTGAGACCAAGGTATTCATTTATTTATTGTACTAAAATGTGTATGCAATGTAAATACTTGGACAGTCAGTAATAATGACCATAGAGATGATTGGACATTAGAAAGTGCCGTAACTTTCAAACAATTCACTCATAATTTGTTAGCTGCCTTCATATTTGCTACGATGTTTACATAAATATGTAAAGATGCACTTCTTCTGTCTTCAGGTTCCTCTTGAGTTGAAGTCGTCAAGCACTCTTGGACCTAAAAATGGCATTTATGTGAAAATCACAAGAAGGGACCAAAGAGATGGTCCATTCATTTCTCCATCAGATGATTAGACACCAACCTGAGGCTCAGGGTCTTTGTGTGTCATGCCTTTCCTTTGATTTACAGCAAAATATTTTCATAGTTACTGACATTCTGCATACCTCAATGATTCAGCCCACACAGTGATCTGAAAAGTCGTTATAATGATAATATTGCCGCTGTAATGATAAACACAGTGGCACAAAAGTGCTGTTGATCCAAGTGCTCTTTACCAGTCTCTCTCTTTTGGATACAGTTTAGGTCAGGGTGCACCATGCGGGTCATTCATTTGTGAGTGTGCTACAACACAGCTCTGAATGGCACTTCTCACAGTCACACGTTTCTACTTTAAGCGAGTCGAATTTACAAAATAATGACATATTTTTGGCAAAAAAGTTGTGTTTTTGTTACTGATACACTGAAATCTTTGATGGAGCATGAAGTGGTCGTAACTCTGTGCCACCAAAGCTGCTATTTGAGGGTGAAGTAAGTGGTTTTATAATAGGAAAAGAAAATCTTTGTTGTTTTGTTCCTGATGACTCTTGTCCCTGTTACATGTCTCAGGATATGAAACACTCACTGCACTTTAACTCTGTGGGACAAAACATTAGAATCCTTTCATTACCTGTGTTGATGAACTCATTCATTATTATTATTATTGCACCTCATTGGAACATCAGTTTCCTATACTCATATCCAATCTGTCAGTTTAGATTTTTGGCCATTACTTGAGAAACTGCAGTGCTGAAATGTAAATGATCTAAAAGTGTTTT